TATTACCAACAGTGGACTATCAGTATACAATATCCAAGAGGGGACTACTGCTTCTGGTCATTAAAAAGAAAAAAGAAAAAAATGTCCTGGTCTTTAACCATAATATTACTTGTAAATGTGATTTTCCTACTGCAGTGGAACAGCTAATGGGTTTTTGTTTACTGCAAAGACTTTCTTTGTTTCTCCCAACAACTGTAATGTTTTCAATATTTAAACATTCATCTGTGATACAGATATTACAGAAATAATCATGGCCACTTTATTTACCTGCAGTTCAGAAGTAACTTGGCTGCATGCTCTTATATGAAGATCTGCAGTGTTAGCAACAAAATTACTTAATACAGGCTTCAATTATATGACATATATATATAAATATTATTATAACAGTAACTAATTAAAATGTTCTCTTAGGGGAATTTGTATTATTTGTTAGTTAAAAGATCCAAAGAGCTAATAGAACAATGAGAAGAAAACACTGAATTTGTCAAAAAAAAGAAGCCTATTAAGTATGTAGGAATGTAAAAAACAACAACAACACATAATACTGTCTGAGAATTGTATAAAAAAATCCTAAAAATATCTGGAAAACTTATCTCTGATGCAATATTTAATAATCTGCTCAAAATTAATCCAAATTGCTAACTTCCTGCAGTTCTTGTGTTCACTATTTTGGTTCATTGTACAATTTATCAGTTGTTCTGTACTGTTATTGTTATGCACTGAATATAATATGAAATATCCATATATGTCACTTAGTCAGGGGCTGCCAGTTTTGTCAGTGATAGAAAAGGGGGCCCTTAAGGAACCACTGCTCTACTGTGTAAACCGGCTAGTCACTAACTTAGTCTTTCTGCAGGTATCAGATGGTTTATTCAAGAATTTACTCAAAAACAGTAAAGTTGCAGGCCATAAAAAACCAAAACAGTTGAGTTGAAAGACGCTGAGGAAACTTTATACTAAGGTGACAATTATTTTTGGGTTCATCACTACAGGCAACCCCTTACTCATAGCCTACAAGTAGTAATAAGCAGATTTAGAGATTTGATTTGATAGTTATGGAGGTTGTTCTGAATTTTGTGTTGTGTTTTGCT